ATTTGGAGTAGTGCGTATTTGGAGGGGGTAAGAATAAGAAAACTGAATATTTTGTTCTATGGGAGAGTAATATTGACGAGGAGTGTAATACTGATGGGGCAGGGGCGGATGCAGCTCTATAGCAATGGGGGCACATGCCCCCAATAAATTTGGACTTTAGCTTAAACATTTCATGATTTTTATTAATATTCCCAATAGAAAAACTAGTGTGCCCCCAATAGAAAATCTAGTGTGCCCCCAATAATTTTTTATGTCCTCACTTACTTTCAAATTTATATTATACAGAGTACGTAGTTTATATAGCATTATAGTGTGTGTATTTGTTTAAATATAGACTAGCATTAGTTGACCTTGTAATTTAAGATTAGTAAAAATGTTTTGGTACTCCTTTTTCTTTTTTATTTGTATTCTTTCTTTCACCTATATCTAGCTAATTTATTTAATCGTTTTACTTTTTTGGAAATCCATTCTCCATTTGATATTATTTGACTCTCATCTAAGCAAATTTCGATTTGAACGTTATCAAGCCGAGCATAGGAAAATATAGAGATAAATTAGTGAAAAGCAAAAATTTCTTTTAATATTTTATTCTAATTCTTTTGAGTTTATTCACTCCTTTTGTAGTTGTGTTTGAGAATATGTATAATTTGATTTAATCATGCTTAACATTAATTTGTTAAGGGAGATTTGCATTTTCAGTACCATAATTTTTAGTTGTGCTCGTTATTAGTCTCGTAACTTTACTCGAAAAACTCCACGTTCTAGCAATAATATACCAGAAAAGACATTACCTGGGTTCAAATTTCTATCGAAAAGTGTACTATTCGATGAAAAAATCCTCAATTTCCAAATAGTTATTAGTTACATGACCAAATCTATTAGCGAATAAAGTTAAAGCACTAATAACGAGCATATATGAAAGTTATGTGATTAAATTTGCAAACCTCCCATTGTTTAAAATAGAGTCACATTGAAGTTATATAAGATGGATTTCGTTATGCAATACATAACTTTTAATGTATAAGTGAATTCAAAAAGTAGTTTATCAAAATTAAAATATTAGTAGATGACTATATGCACTATAGTAGTACTACCTCCATCCCGGTGGACTTTCCCAAATGCAAAATAGGTGAGAAATAAGAATAGTAAAAACTTTGTGGTTGAGATTTGTGCAGATGAGAGAGAAATGTGCAGAACCACAATTTTTTTTTTTGCGAGGAGAACCACAAATTAATTGATTTAATAAGAAAGTGGCAAAGTTTTTGGGACAACCAAAAAGAGAAAGTTAGCAAAGTCCAATGGGACGGAGGGAGTATATTTTATCATATTTATATCCACGTGTATAAAAAGTGCCCCCAATAAAAGAATTTTCTGGATCCGCCCCTGTGATGGGGAATGTAAGGAGGATAGGGCGTAAATGGTGAATATTCTGTGGAGGTTTGAGGGAATGGTGTTCCTCCAGAATTTGAGCTGAATGAGTTCATCTCATGTCTCTTTAATTTACCCGAAAGGTTAGCACAGAAAAAATCCAACGAAAAAAAAGACAAACTAAAAAAAATCGCTGAAATCAATTAACCTTAAAAACGACACCATCCCCGGCAACGACGCCAAAAACTGATGTGAGTTTCCTCGCACTTAAAAAGATGTAGTAATATAGGGTTTTAATACGAGTATCGTCTCCACAAGGACGGAAAAAGGGAATAAGGAATCAACTACATGCAGCGATTAAAATAAATAAAATAAAATGCAAATTGCGAGATTTGGATTGGTTGGAAAGTTAAAATGCAACTAAATGATTAAAAAGCTTGGTTCTTTCTAATTAATGACGGAAGAGAACAAGGATTGATTCCGAGGTAATCGGATTTCTGGATGACCAGGCTTAATCACATGAAAATTGTTTAATTGAGCAACGCTAATCAATACTAAGTTTTTACCGCTCTCGCGGTGTAGAGTACAATAATTTAGGGAACCAGACTGATCTCTCATGCGACAGGTATCTAAAATTATTGCCGAAACGAGCGAGCGTACGGGTCCTTAACCATTGTTAATCTCTTAGCGAACAATTACATGTGTGTGAAGATGTCCTAGAATAAATTAGATCTCTCTTAATTTATTATACATGCAATTATAAGCCTAACTGCAGTTCTATGTTACAAAAGATATCAATTCAATCATTCAAACACAAATTAAATAACATTCATGTAATTAATTCATCATGAATTTAGTCATACACCTTTATCAATTTCAAATTGATAAAGGGGTTAGTCATGAATAACATCATGACTAACCCCTTTATCAATTTCAAACTTGTAATTAAAACTACTCACAATTCATAATCGAATCAACAATAGAATTGGAATGAAAAGAATTGATTGTCATTAATTAAAAAGATGGAACGCACAAATAATCCCAGGGTCTTAAAGAATAAAGCAGAAAAACACGTAAAATTTCGTCCACATGCCTCTCCCTAAGCTCTGTATCCAAAAACAGGGGTTTACAGGGTGTTTAAATAGAAAACAGATCAATCCGGGACGAAATAGGACACCTGGGGTTGGAAAGATGTCGGGCACGACGTGCCTCCCTTGGCACGCACGACGTGCCCGATCGGCAGTAGCTCCAGTGTGATTTTTCTCTTCCGCGCAGGACGTGCTTACTTTGGGCGCACGATGTAAGCACGTCATGCGCGGAAGAGAAAAACCCAATAAAAAGATAATTATTAAAATGGTGGAAGGTCGCATCCTAAAATCTCAACAAGTCAACAACAATTATCTGACTTCCTCGTCTGTTTTCACCTTGCTCCTCTCAGATTCTCGTAATGGTGTCTTCATATGATTTCTAGCCCTTGAAGTTAGATTTCATATAAAACTTGAATCATGTACTATGAATGTTTCTACAAAAAGATATGCTTGAACGATTGACAGAATGTCATTCTGACCGCCGTTTACAAGCTCTATTAGTCTTCTTTTGATCACGTAGCCAATTCTAGAGCTCGTTTGTCTTCAGAACTTCGTCTTTAACACCTCATTGACCTCCAATGCTCCTAATCAACTCTCAAATGCGTCTCAACTCTCTCGATTACTTCTCAAACGCCGGTGTCGGACTTAATTCCCTGATTTTGACTCCAAAAATACCAAACACACACGAACCAACGCCCGGTAAAAATATGACTTGAGCTAAAAATGAGACTTATGACACCTTTAAGTTAGGAAGACAATCAAAAGCCGATCTCAACACGCATTAAATGAGTGTCGAAATACGGACTTATCAAATGTCTAATTCAATTATGTTACTTTTATGATTGTTAAGTTGCATTTAGCACAATCATGTGTTTATTTTTGTTGTCACATGTCACTTTTCCGTAAAAAAGATGTTGAATTGCCACATATCAACAAATTCTCCAGAGTTTCTCTAAAGGTTTACTTTAATATATAGATATAAATTAACACTTCAAAATGACATTTTTTTTTAAACTTCCTTACCTATTATAGTATATGTTCTATGTTAAGGTCATCATTCTTGAACTGAGATGAGATTTGACCTGGTGACATCTTCATTGAGAGTGTCACAATGATATGATGTCATCAAAACACCACTCTTAAATGACAACTTAATTATCAAATACTACATATTAAATAATACATTTATAAAATCACAGTTATCATCGATTATCTCATTAAATTGTTCTAAATAGAATTATAAACCTTTTTAATTTTCAAAATACAACTTTCATGTTTTTATTCTCTAAATAGGAGTAATTACTCTCATATTTTGGCATTACCGGAATCTAAACGTGACAATATTTTCTAAAATTGACAGTAATGACTCATATTTAAGGAATAAAATTAAAACAACAATCCTATTTTGAATCCCAAATCCACCCCCTCATATTTGGGGATTTTCCCTATTATATATTCACAAAATTACAACCCAAATATACTCAAATAATCTTATTTAATTAACACTTAAATAACCATTATATCTAAATAACTCAACTTAGAGGCCGTTTGGTAACACCGAAGTTGGCTCAATCCGCTGAAATTTATGAAATTTTGACTGAAGTAGTTAAATTAGCTGAATCTACTAAATCATTTAAATAAAATATATTTAAAATATATTTTTTTAAGAAAATAAGAAAAAATGTGTGAATAAATAGCTAAAAGAATCCTCTACTGTAATTTGAAAAAATTCACACAGAAATGAAATTCCAATCTTACTTATTTGGATTATTATAGAATCCAACACTTACTTAGTCAAAATTGTGTGTTTGGTTAAAAAATGACCGATAAAAGTGATAAGTAAAAAATATGACCGTGCCCTTGATAGATACGTAGTAGAATAATTTTGGAAAAGTTCCCGAAATGAGACTAAAAAAGTTCGAAAATTCCAAAATAGGACTGTCATGTTTTTATTCCCAAAATAGGACTAATTACTGCCAAATGTGGAAAATACTGCCATGTTTGAAGTTTGGTACTGCCAAAACATGGCAGTAATTAGTCCTATTTTAGGAATAAAAACATGGAAGTCCTATTTTGGAATTTTCAAACTTTTTTAGACCCATTTTGGGTAATATCTCAATAATTTTCACACAAATGGTTGGAATACCCCTTTAACACGCACAATCTTTTTTGTTCACACAATCCATTTTGAAATATAAATTTTGTTTATACTTCTTCCGTATTTTTTTGTTTGCTACACTTTCCTATTCGGGATGTATTCAAAAATTTGCAACACTTTCCATTTTTGGTAATTTTTTGTTTTAAAAATACTCAACTACCCTTACTTATTCTATTTTTTATCTTCTCTTTCATATTTTTCCACCTTCTCTCATATTTTTTCTATACTATTCATTATTTCTACTATTTCACTCTTAAAAAATGTGCCAAACACATATTGCAGCAAACCCAAAAATATGGAGTATACAACTCTATAATGTGCCAAAAGTGTATACCAAGTCCTCCTTATAAAACATTTTTCCAATTCTCCCCCTTCCAAACAAGCGTGGCACCTGCGTCATAAATGCTTCCATCTCCGTCATGTTAAATTTAGGGGTCAAGTTCAGCAAAGGCCGGCGCAAGCACGCAAATGTCGAACCTATCTTCTTCCATGGTCCCACGAGAAGTCGTGAATGACTAAAATGCTGTTCAATCTTGCTGGGGCCCACAATATAAACTTCTCGCGGTTAACAACCCACAGCTTGTTTGAGTTGCCCGACAATCCAAGCCAAAGCCCAGAAGATATCTACATTCTACACCCATTTGCAAAATCCGGTTTGGATCAGACGTGGATCAAATGGAGACCGGGAAGATGATTCCGCCGGACCGAGTCACAATCGATGGAACCGTGACCAGTGTGACACTCACAGAAGGCGGCCAGCTACGGTGGTCCGGCCGCTGCCTGGATGTGGGGAAGGAGGTCCTCGGGTTCTCGGTTGAAGGTTCACAAATCAAAATCAGGGCTGTGTTGGAAAGGGGAGCTGGAATCTGCTGTGGCGGTCACACATCAGCTCTTCTCAGAAGAACATTTACTTTCGAGCCGTTTTCTGAGGAGTCTCTCAGGCTTTGGAGTCATACTCTCCAAGATTTTATGGATTCTCTGGGTAAAGATCAGAACTTTCTGATTTTTTTTTTTGCTTATAAAAGACTATAAGAGTAGTTTAACTTATAAGGTGCTTCTACTTATTTTTATCTGTCTTTATTGAATGTTCTTATTTTTTAATTAATGATATTCTTTATGCAATAATAATAGATAGAGAAAATCCCTTAAACAAGACTAAAACATTGACAAAGTGCACAAATAGGATCATCGTTGTTTTCATGGTCACTCATTGACTCGTAATTGATGAACCTTTATTCTTTTAAAATGATCAAATAATTCCTATTTAGGGAATTATAAACATAGTTCTAATAATGCACTTTGATTAACTTTTGATTTTACTTAGAGCATTTACTATAATATTTATGAAATGATATCCTTTAGTAATGACGAAATATATACGGAGTATTACTTTAGAATAAAAAAAATTATGATCATGCTTAGAGAAATGGCTATCTTATATTAAATGTTAGTCACAGTAGCATATACACTATTTTCTTGGTCAAACTTATCTGCATTTATTGTTGGTTCCTTCCTTGAAGCTTAGTCGTCAATCGTCAGTCGTCACTATTGTTAGTATTATTCTCATTTAGTGTTTTTTTTCATGGTTGGATTTGTGTGATGATCAGGCCGACCAAGAAGACTATTTATATTTGTCAATCCATATGGAGGAAAGAAATCTGCCTCTAAGATATTTCTTGATGAGGTAAAACCATTGCTTGAGGATGCAAATGTTGTATATGAAGTGCAAGGTTTGAAGCACTAGACTTTCTTAATTATTATATATCTCCAAAATCTTTGTGTTCCTTTGATAACTTCTAAATTCTTATTCACTCCCACGCCCCCTTTTTTAATCAACTTTAATTGTATAAATTCAGAAACTAAATATCAGCTTCATGCCAAAGAAGTTGTTCATAACTTGGATCTTTCAATGTATGATGGAGTTGTTTGTGTTAGTGGAGATGGAGTTTTGGTTGAGGTTAGTTAGTCATTCTGTAATTATTTCTTATGGCAAAGAGAAACATAGCAGTTATCTCCATGCTAATGCATTGCAACTTTTATTAGGTAGTTAATGGACTGCTTGAAAGGGAGGACTGGAAGACTGCAATAAAGATGTCTCTTGGAGTTATACCTGCAGGTTTTTTTCATTACTTTATGTCATGCGTCTTTTATCTTAAATTCTTTCCAAGAAGCAGTTTGGGAGACTGTGATAGCTCTTTGAGAAGTAATAACTTTTATCCTCTAATTGTCAACCAACTTATAAATTGTTAAAGATTATATTTCATAAGTTATTTTACTTTACACATAATACTTGATACTTATTACTTTTTTCAATCTTAATCAAACAAAAATACTTTTAGTTTATATTTAAAACTAAAAAATGTTTCTCTTTATTACTAAAACAAGTAAAAAGTATTGTCATCTCAGGAGGGATGCGCGTGTGCAAGTTTTGTAATGTTTCTTTTCTATCGTGGTGATCTTTATAGTAATGTTAGAATTCTTTGCACACAGGCACTGGAAATGGTATGGCAAAATCTCTTCTTGATTCAGTTGGAGATTCTTGCACTGCTTCTAATGCAACACTTTCTATTATTCGAGGTAGTAGGGTTTTGTACAGGTCACTTTTATTTATTTATCTATTTTTTTGAGAGGGTATCTTTTTAATTTTCATGTGTTGAATACAACAGGCCATAAAAGAGCGCTAGATGTAGCTACCATTTCACAGGGGCAGACAAAGTTTTTCAGTGTACTGATGCTTGCTTGGGGTATCTACAATTTTCACCTATCCACTTAGCCTGTTATTTATTTGTTTGTCCAAAAGCTGTACAATATGTTGAGCTATAATAATAAAAATAAAAATAAACTTGTATGTTTTCCAGGACTTATAGCTGATATTGATATCGAGTCTGAGAAGTACCGGTGGATGGGCAGCACTCGAATAGATTTCTATGTAAGTTTTCTAAATTATTTCTCTCATGTGGACTTAAAGTTGTTAAAGTATAGACGTTGCAATATAGTTTGCATTGTTTTAGTAGTATTATAATATCTTATTTGTATTAAGTTTAAGATTTAGGGTTTGTGTTTCGTGTTCGTACAGTGTTTAAAGTTCATTATCTATATATACGCATTGTAATGGTTTCTAGAAATTATGAAGATGTAAGTTAAGTCATATCAATGAAGGCACTTGTTAATTACTCCGTATTTTACAAAACTAATACACAATGTTCTCGTATGAGTATCTTTTTTAAAAAGAATTAACATTTAATACTGTTTGATCCAGGCTCTTCAACGGGTATTATGTCTTAGAAGGTATAATGGTAGTATAAGGTTTGTGCCTGCACCTGGCCATGAAGGTCAAGGAGAGCCCACTGAACCTATGGAACTTTATTTGAGTGATGGTGGCCCAAAAGGTGGCTATTATGGGCCCAATTTTGATTTGCAGAATTCAAACTGGAGGAAGATTGACGGGCCTTTCATATCAGTCTGGCTTCACAATGTACCCTGGGGTGGTGAAAATACTATGGCTGCACCTGATGCCATGGTAGGCTTTAGTTTGTTCCATAGTAACTTATCCATGAACTATCTTTCCTTTCAAAAGTACTCCGTAATAATTAGTGACAAAAGGAATATTATACTTGACAACTTATACCTTCAAATTTATTGGTTCATTTTCTGATAATTCCAACATGTAATACAGTTTTCCGATGGATATTTGGACATGGTGTTGATTAAGGATTGCCCGAAGTTAGCCTTGCTATCAATGCTGACTGAATTAAACAACGGAGGCCATGTCAAATCCCCTCATGTGTTGTACTTTAAGGTAAAAGTTATATTTGCATATGCCTGGCTGCACTCTCAATGGCCACACATTATGCAGACCCGTTTGGCCTTGTTTGGATGATTCCCTGGAACCCATTGTTCAATAGTTGGTTGAGCGCGTTTGGTTTTTTCATATCTTGCTTCCCACCTCATAGAAATGGATTATCTAGTTTTGAGTGAAAGTAAGACCTCGCACTAGGGAAACTGAAATATTCTCTTTGGTTTGGTGAAGGTGGGAAGCTAAACCTTGTATTTTTAATGACCGGGGAGACTGAGAATTTAACTCTTAGTACTACTAAACATGCTCTTAAGGCAACATTTGGATAGGCAGTCCATTCTTGGGAATCCCTTTACCCATTAGTTGGTGCTCAAACCTATGCATAATATGGTAACATTGCAAGTGCAGCATAACAGACCCAGTTTTATTGAAGAAAATGGCTTTCTTGATTTGAAATGGGAACATAATCTACATTTCATTTATTGGTTGCATCAATAATAGGTCAAGGAATTTGTTTTGGAGCCGGGTCCAAGAGCAGAGGATCCATTCAAGGACGGGATCATTGATGTCGACGGTGAGGTTCTTGCTAGAGGTAGAAGAACATATAAATGTGAAGAGAAAACCTTAATGACTTATGACAAGCTTCATATTAGAATGGATCAAGGGTTGGCTACTATTTTTTCTCCTATTTAGTATTTCTTGTTGTGGTTACTGGGCTAGCTTTTTTCATTCTTTCACGATTTATTATTTGTTTGCAAATTTGTGAAACTCTTGTTTACAAAAGATGGTAAATGCGTACAAATGAATATTACACCAAGTAAAAAATTACTTCTTCCTCGAATACATCATGAATTATCGACCCATAATGCTACAATGCTACCTCTTCCTTTGTTGATCCAATTATCCAAAGGTTCAGACTAGGAATTTGTCGAGTTCGTATATTATACATCCGGCTGTACGGTGAGCATAGTACAGCCGGCCCAACAAGGAAAGTAACAGGCCAAGGAAAAAATAACAAAATAATTCGGTGGCATTTTGTAATTAATGTGAAAATCGTGATTTTTGCGAAATGAATATTAGTGTACTGTTAATGAGCATTAGTCCAATTTTAATGAGCACTGTGTTAGTACAAAAAAGCTAATATCATAACTAAAAAACGGTGGAATTTTCGTAATATCAGTGAAAATCGTAGTTTTTGTTAGATGAGCATTAATACACTTCTAATGAGCATCAGACGTATTCTATTGAGCATTAAGATTCGAATAATGAATATTGTGATATCAATTTCTTATATTGTAATTCAATTTCTTTTAGTTATTTTTTCTTTCATAAAAGCTTATTAAATTATATCTATAATCAATTCCTATCAATTTCAATATGCGAATCTAATGTAAAATGATAAGTTTAAAATAAACATTGATATGACATTTCAAAATGAGCATAACATCAGTACCAAATGAGCATAAATAATTTTCAAAATGGGTATTGATATGAAAATAATAAGCTTTGTTAGTTGATCATCAAGACATTTTCATTGAGCATCAAACTTTTTCTATTGAGGATTAAAAGTATGTAATTGAGTATCATAATCTCTACTCTCGTGCCTATAATCAACTCGATCTCATAGGAATCTAATGTAATATAGTAGTTTTAAAATATGCATTGATATGACATTTTATAATGAGCATAAAACCAATGCCAGATGAGCATACATAATTTAAAAACTGAGCATCAAAATGTTCAATAGCTTAATTGAATTCTCTAATGTGTTCTGATATTCATTCGTATATGCTCATTTCTTTTAATTGTTATACTCATTCGAATATAACATAAACTCCTTTCTATAATGTGTACATCTAGTAGATGCGTTATTAACGATTTAATAAACTCTCATTATATATAACAATGAGAAACATAAAAGTGTTATATTAAAAATAATTTATAGTCTTTTGTTCTTAAATAACAAATATAATTGTGTTGTTTTTATAATATTTTACACTATACTCATTTTATTATAACACAAAACTCATGTTAATAATTAACATATACTAAGTAATATTTAATAAACTAACAAATATTCATCTTAAATTTAAAATAGAAGAACAAAGCATTAATACGTAATGTTTTTTATAATGCACAAATTAAAAAAACTTAAGTTAGAAGGTTGATTGGAAAAAGAAAATAAATAAAATATGCAGGGATATTAAATACTCCGTAATACGGAGTATTTTATATTTACATATGTTTTAAGAAATAAAGCAAAAGAAGGTTAAAGCACACAGAAAGAAAACGGAAAAAGCAGAAGCCAGGACTCAAGATAGGTGCTTTGTATTTTGTCTACAAAATACAAAGCATATAATTTGATTAATTGTGAATTGAGGATTCCATAATTTCAATATTGATAACCACATAGAGGTTAGAAAATACATAGGTATAATAGTAAAGTATAAAAAATTGGGGCCCCCAATTTTTCCAATTTTTGGGGCCCTGAGGCATGGGCCTCTCCAGCCTTGCATAAGGCACGGGCCTGTTCTAGAGTATCTGATACGGGAACGTTTCCGATACGTCGATACGGTACCCCAGTGAAGTATCCATTGATGGGGTTATGGGACTAGGCCCAAATCCCAGTCGGCCCAAGCCCCGAACTTAGACCCGTGGGTCCAAGTCCACAGTCTGGACTCTGGAGTATGCCCACTAGTCTAGTCGGGAGTCTGCCTACCAGCCCGACGGAGAGGGAGCTCAAGTGTCAGGCCTGCCAACCAGGTCGACCCGCTAGTCAGGAAGAGTGATGGTCAAGCAATTAATGCACTTTTAATTATGTATTTAATTCCACATTAATGTTGTAATTAATGAGTCATTATTATTGATAGCAATTACAATCTGTAAACGCCTAGAAAATGCAAGTCATATTCAAATGGTAGGAGATGCTATTTTTGACAACTAAACTTCCCTTGACTACTTTCCATTTTGGTTCTTACTATTTCCTTCTAGGGTGTTCTATCGTAGGTTTCCCAAAAAGCTTACGAGCGTCCATTTTTGGACCAACATTGGTGTTTTCATTGAGAGCCTCTATTGTCTCTTACATCACTTTAGTAGGAGTCACACATGAAGATGGCTGGAATCTCATCCCGACGTGGCCATGTTTCAGAAGATGATGAACAATGAAGTTGTGAGAAAAATGGTGGAAGAAAATGAAAGTTGCTAGCAATTTTTTGACCTATCCGAGCCTAGCATCTTGGTTGGTCTATTCAGAATACCAAACACTTCCTGCAAAGCATGATAGATATTTTGAAATCATATGAAGAACTCATAGAATTGTTCTACACGTTTATGAATAAGGCGTTTGATAGATTATCATGGGGATTCCTCTCTAAGGTGCTTCAGGTCTTTGGCTTTGGTAATCATTTTATACATCTTATTATGAATAATCTCCAGGCCACTTTCCTATCTATTCTAATCAATGCTACCACCCAAGGATTTTTCAAGCCTACAAGGGGTGTTAAGCAAGGGGATCCTCTTTCCCCCTTTCATTTTATTTTAATTGGCATCTGAGTCCTTTTCAAGAGGGTTGAATTGTTATATTTCTAAGGGTCTTTTTGGATGGGCAGATATGGGAGGCCAGTCTCACATCTAGGGTTTGCTGATGACCTTCTTATCTTTATCAATGGAGACTCCAGATCACTCACTAATTTCAGTAGATTTCTCAGCCTTTATCAAGACTCTTCTGGTCAAGCTGTGAACCTTGAAAAAAGCTCATTTGTCAGTGGTAAACCTGTTTCTTATAGGAGCCAGGCCATTAAGGATCTGTTTGGGAATGCAGAAAACCTCCCTTCCCCTGAAATACTTGGGTGCCAACCTACATAAAGGGATAAACAGACATCAGTATTGTCACAAGCTTATCCAACAATTTGACTCTAGATTGACTACCTGGAAGCAAAAAATCTCTCAATGGGGGGAAGACTTATTTTGATTAAACATGTTCTGGGAACTATATCACTACATCATCTTGCTGTGGATATCCTGCCAAGTAAGATTAAGAGAATCTTAGACAAAAAGATGTCTAATTTCCTTTGGGGTTCTTCTGACAATAAGCCTAAATATCACTCAATCAGTTGGGCCAAGTGGTGTTACCCTAAGGAAGAAGGTGGACTTGATATTACATTTGGTGATATGGAAACTGCTTTCTCCTTAAAACTTTGGTGGAAGTGAAATACTAATTCATGTTTTTGGTCCTATTTTATCAGAGAAATGCTTTGTGTACACTGCGGGTTACACGCCAGTATACACGGCATAAAACCCCTCCCCCTCCTACCGAAATAACCCACCCGCTTCCCCTCTCTACCGAAATAGCCCGCCCCACATTTTCTTACGCTCCTCTGTCCCATGGCCTCCACTTCTCCCTTTCTCTATTCTTCTCATTCTTCTCCAACTCCCCTCCTTCAAATCCATATTTTTACAGATTCCCCTCCATGTGTCTATCATCTCCCTTTCCATTTGGACCTACGTTTTTCTCTCAAGGTCTTGACTTGAGGTAAATAATTTATTTGGGATTCTTATGAATTTAGGGTTGCGATTTCTCCCCCTTTTTTTTTATCTATTAGCACCAATTTGTTTCCTTTGGAGCTGAGTATGAGATGGTTTAATAAAGGATCCAACAGCCCCTGGACTATTCTGCTTCATAGAGGATTGAGCTGCCCCTGGACCAATCTGCTTCTGTCCGCCATCTGTAACATCACATAAACTCTCAAGCTTCACGAATCTACTGGTCTTAATCGTTGGCATCCAAGGAGAAGAGGCATAAATGAGTGCAGATTTGAACTGGAGTTTAGCCTTATTCATCCTTATGAGTCTCTCCGTGAACAAAGACCTTGGTGGCAAGAACTCGTATGCCTCATCAACATTGGTACAGTCTGGTCGCATTTGGGGGCCATTGACGATGGGATAAAAAGGAAGAAGTCGTGAGGGTTAATAGAATTGAAGGTTATTGTAAAATCGTTTTTTACTATTCTCATTTGTTCCATAATAAAAGTTCATCATTGGAGATTTTTTTTTTATTTTGCATTATGTATAATTGATGCTTCAAAATACAATGGATTGTGTATTGTGATTAATGAAATTTGTCTTCAGATTACTTTGTTATAGTTTCTTATTTTGTCTGTCTTCAGATTACTTTGTGATTAATGAAATTTGTCTTCAGTGAATTGTCTGTATCATAGACAAGTTATTTTGTCTCTGTCACAAACATTTTTTTTTGTCTGTATCACAGACATTTCATACAATTCACTTTCAAACTTGTATAGAAATTGTCTATACAAAAACAAAACTTGTATAGAGATTGTCTAAACTCAGACAAAACATATATAAAAGTTACCTGTACCCAGACAAAACTTATACACAAACACTTGACAAAACTTATACACAAACACTTGGTTAAATTATGGTACATGTATTCGATTATTTTGTCTGTGCGTGTAAAATAATTGTTTGTATGTCATTTATATTGTCTGTGCCCAGACAATAGTTGTTTGCAAATACACTTATCAATAGTTGTACACAGACAATAATTGTTTGCAAATACACTTATCAATAGTTGTACACAGACAATAGTTGTTCGATTATTTTGTCTATACGTATAAACTGATTGTTTGTATGTCATTTATATTGTCTGTGTTCAAAAAAGAATTGTGTGCCCAAACATAAAAATTGTCTAGACACAACAATATAACCTGCATATTATAAATCAAAATTCATAATCCTAATGAGAGAACATGTCTTTTTTAGACAAATTTACCACATTTTTTACACTTTCATAATTCCCATTCAGTTTATGCAAATCTAATAGTTATATATAGATTCAACATAGTTGTTTTATCTCTAAGGAATGACATACAATGTTTATAAACAAGTATCACTATTACAACATCACTCATTCCCAAAGCTAAAACATACACCACCATTTAAAATAGAAGATCAAGTTATGGACGCTAATTGTGCCTTCTGAATTCTTGTCCACAACCTTCAAGTCCTGGAAGACCGCCCCCACCGGAACAACCAATCTCCCACCTGGCTTCAACTGATCAATGAGGGCTTTCGGTATGTCACTTGTTGCTAACGATCCAACGTGGATAGCATCATAAAATATAGCATCACCGATTGAAAAAGAGACATAGTTTTCCATCACAGGCCTTCAAGATACTAGTATTGGTCACGAAGAGGTAGAAGATGTCCCTGAAGCAGTCACATGGTTAAAGCTCTTGTTAAATAAAATATATTTAATTTAAATGTTACATTAACTTGACAATAAAAAAGTACTACGTAATATTCAAACTCCATTAATAAAGAAGTCAAAGAGAAAACATACACAAGCTATTGGTACTTTACAAGATGCACTCACATATTTGTCTGTACACAGACAATTTGACCAGCTACACAGGCAAATTGAGTGGCGATACAAACAAAAAAAAAATTGTCTGTATCACAGACACTTTATGAAAAAATCCGATCTAAAATGTTTGTGATACAGACAAATCTTTATATTTTGTCTGTGAAAATCGATTTTCTTCATAAAGCGCCAGTCAAATTGTATGTCTATCAGATCAAATGTCTGTCTATCAGATCAAATTTTCTGTATAAAGAGTTGTGTGTACACGAAGAGGGACTCTACATAATATACATTAAATCATGAAAACAAATAAATCACCAAAAATGGAATTGATCATTACCTCAATAATATCTCAAATCCATCAAGCATACAAAAATAATCACAAAAAGGGGGAAATAACACAAAAAATTCGCAGAATATAATAGAAGAGTTCACTCAAGCATTTTAACAAACACCTTATAGGCATTAAAGTGAAATAGCATAGTTGAATAAAAATTTAAATTATAACAAATCCATACTTATATAACAATATAATAAGCATTCATCAATATCATAACAACATAAAATTACAGTAAAGGAAAAATTATAACCCCAAATTCATAAATATCCAAAATAAATTATTTACCTCAAGTCAAGACCTTGAGAAAAACGTAGGTCGAAATGGAAAGGGAGGAGATAGAGATACCGAAGGATGAAAATTGGAGGAAAATATGTAAAAATATGGCTTTGAAGGAGGGAGTTGGAGAAGAATGAAAATAATAGAGAAAGGTACGAAAATAATGGAGAAGAATGGTACGAAGGAGTGGAGAATGAATGAGTGTGGGAGGAGAAATTGGTTGAAATTGAAGAAGATGATTAATGGAGATTAAGAAGGTGTGGTCAAGAGAGAGAAGACAGAGAAATGTGAGAAAGAGGGGAAAGGGGAGAAAGTGGGTGGGGTAAGAATTAAAGGAAGAGAGGGTTATATGCTGTGTAAAAAAACGTGTACACCGGCGTGTACATAAAGCATTCCTCATTTTGATTATCAAGTCCAAATATCCTAGAATTGATGACATGAAACCCAGGATTTCTGATTCACCAGATTGGAAGAGGGTTTGCTCAGTTCATGATTTGGCATGCTCCCTGACAGATTTTCCAGCCTCTTCAGACTCCCAAGCACCTCAGCATCTGTCCTGGAAAGGCTCTAGCAATGGTCAGTTTACATTAAAGTCAGCCTATCATTCAGTTAGGAGCTCTACTGGATCAACCTTTTCCTACAAACACATTTGGCACCCTCAGTAGCAACTTAAAATTCAATTATTTCAGTGGAAACTTTTCAGAGGAATTTTACCTATTTATGATAACCTCAGCCGTTTTAGGAAGGTTATTCAACCATCTATTTGCCCTCTGTGTAGAAACTATGGAGACACTATTACTCATATTTTTTTGAGATGCGGTTTTTCTAACTCCATTTGGAGCTATTTTAGCACTTTAGCAGGATCATGAACATTCCCCATTTCACTAGCTCGCACTCAATTCGTGGTACTTTTTTGGGTTGGTGGTTTGAGGCTGGTAGCAAAAATCTTATTGATATTTTTAAGAATAATCTACCAGGGATAATTTGCTGGTTCATCTGGAAGCTTTATACTGAGCTCATATGGGGCTCTTGTACTGTATTCCCAATTTTGAGAATACTATTTGGCAAAGTAAGCTCTACATTCAGAATTGGGCTATTGCCATGTCTAATTTACGGCTCTACATTATTGATAGGGTGTTATTTGAGGAGGAGCTTATCCCTAAGAATTTTAGACTTAATCGGAGGCTCATGAAACCGATTCGTTGGAACAAGCCAGTTACAGGTTTCAAAATGAACGTGGATGCTTCGTTTATACATGGAAATGCTTCGGGAGGGGTTTTACGAAACCAGACGGGCGACCTGATTAGGGCAATTGCTTTTCCTCTCTATGCGTCTTCTCCCATGGATGCCGAACGGCTTGCTCTTATGACTGCAACTAGGTGGGCGTTGGAAGAATGTTTCCATGGTTTCCAGGTTGAGTCTGATGCTGAGGCGATTCAGAGGTTTTTCTCAGGTAAGACGGTCGTTAGTGGTGAGGATATTGTTGGCTTCAGACACCTTTGCTTTAGGAAAGGTATCCGTTTTCAGCACATGGTTAATGCTGTTTCTATATTTTTGTTTTTTCTTGGGAGGTTTTGGTTTGGTCTCCCTCTCAATGTACTCAACTATTTTTTAATAAAATAACGGCTAATGACCCGTGGCATCTGCCCCATTGATTTCAGTGGTTTGCCTTCCGGGATAAAAAAAATGAATGAAACAAGAAAATTTAGATGAAATATAAGAAAAGTAGTCATTTATTCTCCCTCCGTCCCGAAAAGGTTTGCCAAATTTCCTTTTTTAAATGTCCCAAAAAGATTTGTCATTTCCAAGGAATATGTGTCTAAAGTTAATTCTCTCTCCTCTGCACAAATTTCAACCACACAATTTTTACTTTATTAATCCACGTGAAAGTCAAAGTTGACGAACCTTTTCGGGACGGAGGGAGTAGTAACTTCAACCAATTCAGTTTGAAAAATAAGTCTAACCTTATTTATTCTGATTATTATACAATTTGTGCACGAAATATAAAATTACATGTTTGGTAAAACAATTGACAGATAAGAGTATAAGACTGATAAGTTGAAAAATAGGAGTTACAAAACGATCTTTTAGGATGTTTTTACTTGGGATTGGTTTCAGCCTCAGACCAGACCAGAATAAACCAAGCCAAACTTAAATAGATTAGATTATATCAAATCAGACTTAAACAGATCAAATCAGACAGGACTTCGACAGATCAGATCAAATCGGGCTAGGACAGTTATAAAATTCAGATAAACCACCCATTTGACTAGGACTGGGTCCGAAAAACCGAAAACCGAAAACCGAATCAAATAAAACCGAACCGCGGCCAAATAAAACCGAACCGCTAAAAACCAAAACCGAATGTAAAAAACCGAACCGAACCGTAGTAGTTTGGTTCGGTTTTGGTTTTTACCCTTCAAAACCGAACCGAACCGAACCGAACCGAACAAACCGAACAAAATAAAATATGAAATTTTATTTGTTAAATGTAAGCATTAATATTAATATCATCAATAATCTTTGAATTTGTTGTGGTAGAGAAATAATGTTTGTCCTATGTTTAGTCTAGTTTAGTTTATAAATGCATTTACACATTCATTGCCAATAATAATGTAGCTATATTGATCTATGATGTCTTTTATGTATGTATGTTGCAATTTGTTGCATGATTATATGTTTTTACTGGTTATTAGTAGTAATTAACTTTTATTTTTATGTAACTTAATTTTTTTTGTTACTTAATTTTTTTATATTGATAAAACAAATAAATATTCATCTCAGCTATATCACATATAGCCATATAGGACATATGTATTCATAAACTTTTTTCAAACTAGTCACAAACAATGTAAATTAAGAATATATATGCACACTTTTATCTCTCCCGCATACTCATATAATTCAAGACATATTTGTTTATTATTATTTTCTTTATTTGTTCAAGTATGCTTTCATTTTTATGTAATATGTTTGACCCCTCCAACTTTTATATCAATTTTAAATCAAATGACAAATTTTTAGTAACAAACCGAAAAACCGAAATCGAACCGTAACAAACCGAACCAATCAAACCGTGATTCGAAGTTTTGCAGTGTAAAACCGAACAGAAATCAAACCGAACTTTTACTTTGGTTCCGAATTTGGTGTTAAGTCAAAACCGATCCGAAAGAACCGAACGCACCCCTTCAATTTCCCAAAGGGGCATTCCCCTAATTCACCCTATCCACCTGATGACCATCATAATAAACACGCAGTCCTGTTCTTTGTAATTAGGCCATGACCATGTCTTTCATTCTTTGTAGTTTTAATACTCCGTAAAAATAATGTTAGAAAGCTCCAACGAGAGTACAGATACGTATAAATACACGCATGCCGACTGACACACGCTCTATCCCTCCTCCAATGGCTACGTGCCAGCCATCAGCCCCTCCTCCACTTCCCCCCACTATCCGCCTGCGCTTAGGGTTTTAGACGAAGACGATTTCTGAGTCAACTCGGACTTGTACATTTCTCACTCTCTTCTAGATATATAGCTCAGGCTCAGAGTGTTTTTTCCTTCTTCCACTTCTTCTGTTTGGTCCTTTGGCCGCTGCATATACTGTTTAGGGTTGGTGAGTGGGGTCTGTGATGGCGTCATCTTCTAAGCAGCAGCCGTCCATGGTATGCTTCAATTCGAACTGCAAAGAGGTTCCGGAGCGGCAGAGGAAAGGCTGGCGCCGCCGCACCGGCGAGTTCGCTGACCTCTGTGATCGTTGCGCGTAAGGATTTCTTGAACTTGTTGGAAGTGTTGCCAGTTCACATTTTACTGTCTAATTACTCTCTTCTCTGAATGCCTGTGAGGGTTCGTTTTTGGCTACTCCGGTGCCTGTTCAGAGTGTGCAAGAGTTCTTACCTTTCACATCCTCTCTAGTTACTACTTGCACATAAAAAATTTGATCTATATATAGACATGGTTGAGTTATGCCTCATTGGTGGTTGGCATAGAGTTTCAAAGAATGCTGTTAATATGCAAGGCGGGGTCGTTTTCAAAAAGGGATTTTAACCATATGTCGAAACTAGGGACTTGGGTGTTTTATTTATTTATTTGTAAAAAGTTTTTTTTTTGAATATTTTAATAAAAAGGGGTTAAATAAACTCTTTCTATTTTAAAAGATAATTCACCCAAAACCCTGTATAAATTGAATAATAGCGTCTTTATCTGGTGTTTAATGTTTACTTGCGCCTTTTCATTGGCTAATGAATGTCCTTGAAGGTCTCAAAGAACTTTTTTTATTTTTATTTTTCTAAATCAGAAGATGGAAGTTTTGGAAGAACTGCTCTTTTTACTAGTTTGATACTGTGTTTTTTAACATTGGAGACCCGAATAGAAGCTTGACAAATGAACTGAGTGAAGAACTTAGTTTCTTGCAACAGACCATTTGTCAATGCAGAATTGTATAAAGTTGTATGGTGTTCACCTATATCAGTAATATGACTACTAATATCACTCAACTTTCTGTTACTTTGTTGTGCCTTAACTCTCCATAGCAGTGATTTCTATTTTGGAATTTGGGTTCTCTAGTTTAGCAATTTGAATATGGCACACTGATGTGCGACTAAGACCTTAGTTTTTTGAAGATAGATTTAATGTTTGCCATTGTTTCACATAAATTATAATCTGAATAAAATATAATATAATATAATGTTAAAAATTAAGCAGAGTCAAACATTTGTCAGAGAGAGTTTAAATGCTTGATCCAATTTTCTCATCAAATTTCTTTCTAATTAAGACATAGCTATATGAAGTATGACACGATTTTCACAATGTCATCTTGAATTTCTAAATTTTCTCACACTAATAGTTACTTTATGTAAACTAGTTCTGCTTATGAAGATGGCAAGTTCTGCGAAACGTTTCATTCAAGTGCTTCTGGTTGGAGGGCTTGTGAATCTTGTGGGAAGGTGCGCTCAAGTTGAATTCTTCTCTGGCTTAGCAATCTATAAAATGATCAGTCTATTGAATAATCTAAAATTTGTTTTTTCTTGTATTGGATATGAGGTTCTAAAGCATGACATTCATTGTGCAGAAAATACATTGTGGATGCATAGTATCTTTCCATACATTTGTACTATTGGATGCAGGAGGAATTGAATGCATCACATGTGCCAGGAAGAGTTTTATTTTGGTAAGGTTCACATTCTGTTTCATTTGTTTCTCTATGATTTCTTATTTGAGTATTAGTAGAATTGCTTTCTACATCAAACACTTGGTGTCCATGTGCATGCTTAACTATACCCAATTTGATGTATTACTGTTAAAGTTCTTGCCTTGTTGTCAAACTTTTTATTTCAATGCTTGAATATTTAAACCAAAATATAGTCGAATTTCTATATTCTAAAGCTACACCGAAAACATGTGGCCATACTAGATTATTTTACAAGCTATGGGTGGAACATGGTTGTCAATTTCATTCTTGCCCGTTATTTACTAATAACTAGTGTACTAAAAATGAGTTATGCTTTTAAAGATTCCCTAAAAGGAAAAAATCATAAATACATATACACTGTACATATGTATCTTTTTAAGTGGTGCCGTCACCATTCACCAATTTACATCTTCAGTTTCTACCTCACCTGGATACCCACACTCCCCACTTACACGTTCTTTTGTTTATAGAACAGGTTGTTTGATATATTTTACCTGTATTTCAGACACCAAATCCTGCATGGCCACCTCCTTCACATTTTCCTCCTCTGCAACCTGAAGGAACTAAAGAGTCTAGAAGTTGGACTCCAATAGCTGGTTCTGGTCCGGTTCCATGGCACCAAGCCCCGAGTTTGTTCAACGGCAGACTCATTCAGCCCGAGTTGCAGCCGAAAACGCCAAATATTGATCTGACTGGTAGCACTGACGGATTTCACTTAACTGATTATAGGAGAAAAGAGGATGCTTCTGGAGTTCCACTAAACAAAAGCCTGAAGAGTTGTGTGCCAGGAAAACCTGAATATGAGACTACTGGTATTGGTTTCCATTATACATGCATATTTAAAAGAAATAAAAACTTTAAATGCGTTTACATACAAATGTTTGGAGATTAAGGCTCAGTGAATAAAATAATAATTTCCTTATAGGTTTTGGTTGTGCTGGACAGCCCAACCCTTTTGCAAGTTGCCCTGACCAAACAAGCGTCCTAAAGAATGATTTTTGTTCTCCGAACTTTCGGTTCACAATTGGACCTACAACCAGAAATGAAGTAAGTGATCCTAGCAAGATCTTCACGGCACACACTCAACCAACCACAATTTCATCTCCCGTGGGGAGGCAGTCTTGCAGTCAGAACAGCGTGGATTCTTCTGGAGAGGCTCAAACGTGCAGTGTTAAGAATCGAGGAGATGTGGGAGGGAAGCACCATCTACTTCCTCGGTACTGGCCACGGATTACTGATCAGGAACTGCACCAAATTTCTGGAGAGTATCCTATAAGGAAAGCCGAGTTCTTCTTTCAAGCTGTAACAATAGTCTTATAGAAATATACTTGAAAGTGTCATATTATTTGTCTATCCCGATACCCCAGTGACCCATTTTTATTCTCGGCATTGATGTGACTGCAAGAATGCAGTTCAACTTTGTGCTCGTAACCTTAACTTTGTGTTAGCATGAACTCGGTGATTACTCCTCTGTTTGAGAAGATGCTTAGTGCTAGCGATGCTGGCAAAATAGGGCGTTTGGTACTACCTAAGAAATGCGCTGAGGTAATTTCCTAGTGCTAAGCTGTCATTAATAACTCAATGCTTCTACTAGCTGCTGTAATAACAAAAAAACTCTGTTGCATTTTATGGTTTTATTCTAACTGGTTCATTGATTCAGTACTGAACATTTGTGTTTGGTTAGTATTTATATTCCACTACATGCGAAACAGAATCACATGAAAACATACACTATTTGTGATGTTGACGATGTTTTATCATGTTACAGGCTTATTTTCCACCAATACCCCATCCAGAGGGATTACCACTGAAGGTGCAAGACCTAAAAGGGAATGAGTGGGTATTTCAATTTCGGTTTTGGCCCAATAATAACAGCAGAATGTATGTTTTGGAAGGGGTCACTGCTTGCATGCAATCAATGCAGCTGCAAGCTGGTGATATAGGTAATTAATCGGATCAATAATGATTCTAAATCTTCAGGGGACCCTCAGGAAAAACATATATGTTGTGTATATAAGTATATTCATGCAAAATTGTGTCGTTAGATCAGAACCATAAATAACTTGCTTGATTTATGTTATCACAGTTCTAGTTTTCTACTGTTGTCTCTGTGGCAATTTATTTTGGTTTTCTGGATTTTCTTTAGGGTGGATATTGGATGGATAGATTTTAATTGGATATTGCAATCCTACTGCCGTCAATTTTATAGTAGCATTCTCTTTTTCAGTGACATTCAGCAGGATAGAGCCAGAAGGAAAGTTAATTATGGGGTGCAGAAAATTAACATCTACGCCTTTAGTGGACCAGGTGTGTTCCATTGCTTTCTACAAAATAGAATATAAGTAACACATGTTAGCGGAGGTGATGTTGGAACTCATTGATATGAATTTATACCACCACGGTATATCATATTAGATTTTATTTTTTAATGCTAAAGTTTTTTAATATTACTTTTTTACAGGGTCATGGAACCTCTAATACTCTAACTGGAGTGGCTAATAATGGCAGCACTGGCACTAAAAGTGTAAAACCTGGGGAAATCTTGACAACGTGCTCTGTTAAAGGAAATTTAGCATCACCTGCTATTCTGATTAACAATCAAGCTTGTAGTTTGGATTCCAGAAACAATAACTTTCCTGAAATTAATGAGTCAACTTGCATAATAGCTACAGAGGTGGTAGAAAACAAGTCTTCTGTTCGCCGTAAGAGAAAGAATAACACCATTTCAAATCCTAAAAGCAAGCAAGTGAGAATTAACAGTGAGCAGTTAATAGAACTAAATCTCACAGTAGTGCAAGCTCAACAATTAATGCGGCCATCTCCAAATAATGCCCCAACTGTCATTGTGATTGAAGGCTATGAGTTTGAAGAATATGAGGTGGATATTCATATACAACTGTGCAGTAGTCTTGACAAATCTTGATACTTCCTTCTAGCTCATTGAGGAAACTAACATGTAAAATTTTGTTTCGTTCTCCAGCATGATGCACCAATTATAGGAAGGCCTACTATTCCCTGCACAGGCAGTATGGGGTTAGTGCTTGTCCATCTATAATGGTTATTAACAGCTTCACGAAGTAGCGAATCGCTTTTTGATTCTTTATCATATATTCTCTCTCTCTCAGTGAGAAGTTCCAGTGGGTTCAATGTGAGGATTGTTATAAATGGCGCAAGATCTCGGCTGATGCTCTTCTTCAAGCAAGATGGACCTGTTCTCAAAATTTAAGGAATCCTGACAGGTATGTCATGTACCTCTTCCTCACCGCAATCATCTTTTTCTGACACGTGAGCTTATTTTTTGTTGTATGAAATCAATCTCTTATCTTATTTGTGATTTGTTTTTTGTTTTTTTTTTTTATTTCTGGCATTAGATCTGTGTGCTCTGCAGCGGAGGAGTTAACCATAGAGTGTTTGGCAGGCTTAATTCCCTCCACTGTTAAGGGTACAAACACTCTCTATCTCCTTCCATTATACACTATACCTCAATAAATCCGTGACTATGCTATTTTGACTTATTTTAGCTCTCATACATACTCCTGTTATTCTTTATTTGTCATATAGGGTTTTCAGAGACATTACGAGTAAAACAGCAGAATTGTGAATAGTATAGAAAATACGTGAAAGAAAGTGAAAAACAAGAGAGAGTTAATGAAGTATGAAAGGGAAGATAAAAAAGTAGAAAAGAGAATGAGAAAAAGTAGAAAAAAATAGGAAGCAAAAAAGATGACAAAAGAAGTTAAGGAAAAATGAAGTACTGTAATACATAGTAGCTTTTAGTCAAGGGACTAAATCGGGCGTTAACTCTTAGTTGAGAACAGTTGTGAATTAACAAATTTTTGTCTGGGGGTTTTCTTGTAGCAGCTGCTAAAAAAAGAAAGAAGGCATCTTCAAGACAGGATGATATTAAGTCACCAGACACTACTACCAGTACAATTATAGTAGAAGCACTCGATGCCTTTGCAAATCTAGCCTTAAATGAAGATGGGGAAGGTGGTGGTGTGTCATCATCATCCCAGCCACCCACCACGAAGCACCCTCGTCACAGACCAGGCTGTACCTGCATTGTCTGCATCCAGCCCCCGAGCGGAAAGGGCCCCAAGCACAAGCAAGACTGTGATTGTAACCTGTGCAAGTCTGCAAAACGGCGTTTCAACACTATGATGCTGAAAAAGGGTAAAAAGCCATCAGAGAAAGAAGATGCGGGACCTACAGAGGCTGAGTGCAACTCACAATCTAGTGATAGTTTTCGTGGTGATGACAAGAGAGCAAATGAGAAGAAATCATATCCGCCACTTAAGGGTGGGATTGATCTGAATATGAAACCGGACCGGGAGAGGGATGATTTTTCACCCTTCCAATGTGATTCTCCTGGTGGTGGTATTGGGGTGATGGGTTTGCTACAAGATGCTGCAGATAGACTCGTATGGCATCACGAGTTGCCAGGTGTCAAGGATTCTTCATCAGTTGTTGCTCATCATCATCAGGTGATAAATTTGAATGGTCGCGGTCCATCTTCAGATAGAAGCCGGGGTCAAACAATATCTGATGTGGACCGTCATATGGTGCCTGGTAACCTTTCTCCTGTGATGCATGCCGAGAAGTAGTTAGCTAGTTGATATTTTTGGTGTATATTCTATGGCATCATCACCATCCATTTTTTGGCTTATGTAAATAAAAATGAGTAGTAAATGTGTAATGAGTTTTCCTAACATAGAGTAACCTTAATGTGTCCCTCTTGTATGGGGTATGGCCGTATCGGATGTGAGTTCTGCTTGGCTTGTATAGTGTCCTTAGCTGTCTTGGAAGAATAATTTCTTCATCACATCATCCTTCACCATTAAGTCATAAATCCCTATTATACATTCCACTTATTATATTTGTGGTTTATATTTTTAAATGTAAACGTAAATCCTTAACAATTAAAGTGTGTTGGGGTCAGCACAACACTTGCCAAACTGGGTGTGGGGACTGTTCACTACTAATTGGCTCAATCCTTCACAAAAGCCAGAGCTATGGGCATAGGGATGGACCGGAACCGGGAAGGGACGAGCTTGGGCAATAAACTAAAAAATAGTGCAATCGGGCCCGGGCCTGGCCTAAAAAATGAGCCCGAAGCCCGCCCTTATAGCCACCGGTCTGGGCCCGGGCTCCTGGCCCAAAGAGGACCAGACCGGGACTAAATAGTGTCAGGCCCGGGCCAATCCATCCCAGGCCATCTCTAAGATTGGGCAGGGCCCTAGGTTGTATCCATTTAATGAATAGGACCAGAACAGAAGTGGATGAGTAATTTACCAGTACGGATTCATCGGGGCGGCAACAAAATCGGTATTCAAAACTGGCCCAACCTAGCTATAGCTTTAGTTACTCCAAAATGACATTGGGTGGGATCGGACTTGACCGTTTCCAGTTTTGCTTAAGTATATCAAGTAGGGTATAGAACTGGTCTAGAGTCGATATTGGAATTGCACTGGAACTAGCTTTGGACCATAATTGGACCTCATTCAAGAATTCTGACCCGATCTCGGCTAGGGAGTGGGGATTGAGAATTGACCAGTCTAGAACTGAAATCAAAATGGTCTGAAACCGGGCACTATCTAGGCCTAATTATAAGACAAGGTTTGTAGGGTTACTTTCTTTAGCCTGTTTGGCTACATTCTTAACCACAATCTTGATTTCAAGACCCAGAGTTTAGAGAGATACAAAAAAGCTATTGGGGTTCGAATTGGTAGTTAGAGCTGAATTTTGTTTGGCATATGTGACAAGTCATCACACTCATTTTTGGTGACTAAGAGTAGTGATGGACCCGGGCCGGCGGTTCAGGATTGGTGGACCCGGGACCGGCCTGGGTAGCCACCGGGTCCGGTTCGGGCCGGGCCTCCGGTTTTTTTTTTTGCTTTCCTAACCCCCCTCACCCCTCAAACCCCCCTAACCCCTCCTAACCATCAAGCCCAACCCGGGTGGAACCCCAACAAATGAAAAAAAAATTCAATTTGGCTCGGACCCGGCCCGACCCGGCTGGGCCGGTTCGCCAAATGTGAGACCCAAGCCCGGACCCGCCCCCGGGCCTAGGCCCGACCCGGACCCGGACTTGGACCCGGACCCGAGAACCGGGCCGGGCCGGTCCACGGGCCGGGTGGCCCGACCTGAGTCCACCACTAACTAAGAGTTTAAGACTATCAAACCATTATGGCATAAAAGACACATCGATTGCTTCCAGTTTGATTCTTGCCTTGAATCGACAAATGGATGCTATAATGTGATGTAGAATCATATTTTGTTGGTTTAATGTATGATGTTCAGTCTTTGACAAAGAGCAACAATCATTTCTAAATCCAACTCGTAGAGATCGAGCTAGAGAAAGAAACAAGAATAGTAATGGTAGTGTATCAACTCAAATAGCTATGTCTTATAAGCTTACATATGTAGCCTATTTATAAGGCTTACAAGAGACATGTGACCTAGATAGTAGTACATCATTGAAAGGTAATGTATATAACTGGATAAGGTGGACCTTTACTGGTGGGTTTGAGATCCTGTATGTTAAGGAAGTTCGACCGGGTGTGTCGGATTAGCCTCCCCCTGTGGAGGGTGTTCAGTTGGCTATGTCGTGACCGACCCTTTGGTGCTTAGGGACGTGTTATCGTAGAGGCCTAGTTGATATGTCCTGGAGATGACTCGATCGGTCTTTCTCCATGTGATTGGGACCGTTCAGGTGTTTTGAGAGAATGAGTTCCTTAATCGTTTGTGTGGGACTCGAGCTAAGCGGAATTCGAAAATGTCTCCAACCCAAAGTGTATGATTGAGTATAAACTCATGAATACTCTTGGTGAGCAAGTAAAGTATGATTCCGAGATGATTCTTTTTTTAAGAAGATACCTCGATCAAGGGCTCAAGGCTATTGAATATATAAAGCCAAGCTAAGATGTCTTTTAGAGATGCAATGGAATAGTCGTTTTGCACTAAGTTTTGAAAAGCTAGAGACGAAAAGGGAGCTACTTGATCACTAAGAAGAGGAAAAGTGGGAGCCACTAAGCACATTTTGTCCAACCTCTAGGGCCCCAATGACAAATAAGGTTTTGCCTTTTACTTGAACCAAGCTAACTCAAACTTCTTTTTTACTAGTAATACAAAGACTTCAAAGTGGGAGATTCCCTTTTTATTCAAAAAAGATGGAAGTAATTATGTGGCTTCATTACCAAGTAGGAATCTTGCAACCACCTGTCACTATTGGCCATCTAGCTGGCTGGGGAAAGCCTTATTAAAAAGATGTACAAATATATTATATAAAAATATTTTATGAAAGGGAAAATAAGATTTTATTAGGCCAGTTTGTTTAGCAGCCGTACTGTTTATGACTAATCCAGAACTCTTTAGATAAAAACGTTTAAATAAAAAAGATAATTACATCACTGCCGTTTAAATTTGACTCATAAGTCGTCTAGCTACCAATATTTAATAGTGACAAAACGATACACCGACTGGTGATGTGATTCCTCCTACCTTAAATAACTATCTCCCAGAAACTACTACGTACTCCATCCGTTCATATTAAATTGCCTTTCCCATAACCCCATTCAAAACAAAACGGAAAAACAAACTTATCTACTTAAACGTGAATATTGGAGGCAGGTAATTAAATGTCGCTTTCTTTGATAATTTCATACGATGTTGATTAGTTTACAATTTTACACCCATGACCCATCTAGAAATTTCCTTCTAACAATAATACTCAAAATAATTTGTGTGCGTAAATACGTAAGGAGCTCTTTTTCACTTGGAATTTAATTTAATTATGGTATGTTTTGACACAACTAGATGAAAATATACTTTTATGAACTTTTTAGTAACTTTTAGCTTTTAATGACTGAAAGGATTTTAAAAGAAAAAAGTTGCAACTGTTTTGAAAAAGTGATTGTTTGATTTAGTTCCGTTTGAAATGATAAGCCGTTATCACTAATAAATATTACTAAAAACTGGAAACTTTTCTCTGATGTTACTTACAAAAGCTTCTTAAACGGATTTTTCATTTATAGAAAACTCTTAAATATTGTCATATAACTAGAACATTATAAAAACATTTTAAACAATACAAAAATTAGAAGACATTGACTTTTGTCTTCCAAACAAGCACTTATATAATAACAAAAGGTTGAGACTAAAACATGCGTACGTAGTAATTATTATGGAGTACTTTCAAACATGACTTATATTTTATTCCTTTTGTTTTGTATATGGAGTCATCCCACACATTTAAGTTACAGAATTTGGACAACTCTCCCTATAAGATCAAATTTTAAGACGAAATTTCAAATTGTAGTATGACATTAGATCAAATTAAGCTCAAACGAGTAATCCATCATATACGTCTCAAAATAAGCACAAATCTAAGTAAAACTTTGAGCTATTTCAAATTGGTGTTTAAGATAAAGTTTCAAAGTCTTAATATTCTCTATTTCACTACAGGTAAAGTAGATAACTAATACACATGCACTAAAAAATATGTTGATGGTATGTAATACGGAGTATTATCGCATATCACGAAAACCATTTGTACGTTCTAATCATATTATCACAAGTAGAAACACTACGTTTTTATTTCAGAAATAAGAATTTACTACCTTTGTGCCTCCAAGTCTTTTTAATTCTTGTATATTGGTAAATTAGAGTCACTAAGTTACAAAATTAGTCTCACTTATTTGTAAATTAGAGACACTATTTTTTTCTATTTCATAAAAACTCCGTATGGATCTATTCACTCTATTATCTTCTGTAAGCGCCCCTAGCTCGGTCTATTTTACAAATAACATTGCCAAATGAAAACATATAAATACTCGTACATACTTCAAATTAAGCAATGTTCATATATTCAATTTCACAAACAAATCTTACACAAATCTAGTAAATCTACTAACATTCCACAATATACACGCACTTATAAAATACAAAATAATAAAGATTTTTTTATACAGTCAATAATAGCCCTTGTTTTTTAAAAGGCAGGGGCTGAGAAGAAAGAGTTAATTTTTCGCTAAGCATTTTCTAAAAAGATTTTTTAAAAAGATAAATAAAAGGAAAGAAGGCCAAAAATGGAAAAGCAAAAGAAATGACAACTAGTTGGCCCCACGGTTAATCATCTCCTTCCACTGCTGTAACGACTCCTGCCTTTGTATCCTCATCTCCTCGTTGAACTTCTTTATGAACGCTTCAACTCGGCGGTTCAACTCGTCCTGACTCAGAGAAGGCTCTTTCCGAAGAATCATCATCCCCGGGTTTCGCGACACCGGCCGCTTTACAGAAGCGTCACCGTCTGCTGCGGTGGCGGCGTCGCCGCGGTTCAGGTTCTGGTGGTTCTCAAGGGGATCAGATTTTTTCAGGCGCCTCGTCAGCGGCGCATGACGCCCCTCCGTGATCGTCTTCCACGTGCTCTCCAGCGTCTCCAGCTGCTTCTTCTGCCTCGCCACTCTCAAACCTCTCCCACCTTCAACAGAATCAACACAAACGTCTTAACAAACTTAGAAATTAATGAGTTATTCACTGAATCACTATAAATTAATTTGATATATGATAGATTTTTTGGACGATTTCGCAATGACATCATTGTTCTCGGCGAATTGCGAGAAATCGGACCGACTTTAAAGTTTATTTGAAAAAAAGGAGACATATAAATAGAAATTGTTGAATATATATACCTTCCGGGGTGGATCTCACCGACTGTTTTCCACGGTGAGCAAAGCGTGAAGTGGCAAGAGGCTTTTCCGCCGCCACCGACAGAAACATCTCTGTTTCAGATTCCGGCGACAGATCCATGGCGGAATTAGTAACAGCAGCTTCGTCCTCCGCCGCCTCATTCTCAATCATGGCTCCTTCATCGGCTAATTTTTCGTCATTCAAGCACACCATGGCACCGTCAACCACCGCAGCCGGCTTCAGCTCCGGCACCTCCGATTGGATGCCGAACGCCGCCAAAAACGTTTCTCCGACAATGGATTTCGCCTCCGGATGAGCGAAGGCTGCCAAATCAGCTGGCGGAGGCGTGATGGCCGTGATCAACTTAGGTACCCCGCCGGAGAGCTGCTTCTCAAGGCGATCGTGCTGGAAACGAGAGGAGAATACTATGGAGAGGATGATTCCGTTGATGATGAAGTAAATGTATGGAGGCTTGAGCCAGGCCATAATCGTCGGGAGATCAAAGAGCAGCGGCAGAAAGGACTTCATTGCCATGAGAATATACACCGTGCCTGCAAAGATTAACAGAGCTTTTACGACAGTTGCCGCGGATATCGCCATTTCCGACTGGTAAATGAAGTGAGGTTTTCTGGAGAGGAATTACTTAACGGGTCGGACATGAATTATGGGACCTTTCACATGGAGGTTGAGGATATATATAGGTGCGAACGTTATGGTGCGTGGGAGACGCGGTTTGCGGGTCACGATTGAATCCGGGCCGTAGGATGGGTCGCCTGAACTTGAGCAGCTGGCCCACCCGAATGGGAACTACTTACTAGTACATTTATGCAGGTACTCTATCTTGTCATTTTGTGCTGTTACCTCCCTATATTTTAAATATTTATACTGATAGTTCTAAATTAATAATGGTTGACTTCGATTAATTTATTAGAAATACCAAAATAGTAAAATTATTACTGGATTGTTAAAATTCCAATTCCAGTTCGATAATTACTAGAAGAATAAGTATGGATGAACTTTTTTTTGGCTGAACTTTTCTCTATTCTTGTAGTCTGTTCTGTTAAATGTCAATATCATTGATTGAGATGAATTTCAAACCTGTGATCTTCACCTTGAGATTGACACAATGATGTCATTGAATCACAACGTGTTTGATAGTATGGATGAACTTTATGAAATAAACACATAGAGGAAGATTATGAAAGAAAGAAACGTTTAGAAAAATTGAAGAAATGATGACATATATATCACTGAATGCTAAAATAAAGATGATAAGAAATGCAACATTTATATGCGTTGATTATATTCATAATTTTTATTTATTTTAATTATATTCGTTTTTATAGTATGGTGATAGGATCATGATATGTCATTCATAGTGAGATTAGTAACATTTTGTCCATGAGTTAATTCCACTAATATATTTCAGAAAATAAAAAATAAAATGTTGTAATTATATTTATTTTTATAGTATAATGATATGATCATGATATGGCATTCATAGTGAGATGAGTAGCATTATGCCCATGAGTTTAATTCCACTAAAATATTTCAAAAAAAAAACATTAGCACACAATCTAAGAGATTGATTTTAATATGAGATTTTTCCTAAAATATTACTCACAAAAACTCTATGAATAAAAAAGTGACTATCAGTTATTATAAGTAAGTTTTGTAGTCACTACAATGTAATATTTTTATACAATTTTGGTCACTAAATGTCACTAAGGTCAAATTTTTTTGTTCACTACTTCTACTCACTACTAGAAAAATGGTCTACAGTGACACTAAATTAGTGTCACTAAAATTTTTAGTGACACTTAAAAAGTGTCAACGAATGGTGGGAGTTGCGACACTAAAATTAGTGTCACGGAAAAAGTGTCAGTAAATGATGACACTACGGTATCACAAGATTTAACGATACATTTCTGTTGACATATTTAATGATACATTTACGTCATATGGATTAGTGATACTCTAGTATTACAAAAGTTACTGATATTTTTGCGCGATCAAGATTCTGTGACACTTTGGTGTTTTAAATAATAATGACACGCTGCTATCATTTTTTTTATACAGTATCATGTGTTGAACAAGTTTTATAAGCTAGGGTTCAAAATCATATTTGAAACCATCATATCCACCTAAAATTATAATATTCAAGCTTATCAAACTAAAATCAAATTCATAACTACTCAATGTCTCAATGTATTCCATAACTGAAATTTAGATTGATATCAAAGTCAACATGAAAATTCAAAGACATTTAACTTGTTCTTCAAAGCAAATTCTAAAATACCAATATTCTAAAACTCCAGTCTACATAAGGCTGCAAACACAAAGTAGTATTTTACATACATTCTGGAAAAACATAAAGTATATTCCGAAACATCAAAAAATTATGCTTTGCACATTTGTTTAACAGCCATATTACGCAAAAGTCCAACTGCCACCATTCATCACATTCGTCACTGCTGAAGTCTGTAAAAACAATGATAACAATCATATTAGTATCAATCCTAATTGTTGAAAATTACATTTTTAACACACTCATTTCAAGGAGTACAAATTTAACTTACTCTTTGATTAGGTTTGCTGCATATGAGATCCATTCCTCACGCACTTGCAGAATGTCATCTTCAGAGTACTCATTGACTGTGGAGAACTAAAACAACACCAAAATACAAACTTTATATTTCCTTCCTAAAAGACTACCAAAACCAATAATTAAGCATAAACAAACTGAAGCACTAAAACCATTTTGAGTACCACTCAAGCATCTCAATGAGGTGTCCTTAAAGGACCGAAACAAAAGAATTGAGGGCTACAAAAGTACAAACTCTCCCCTCAAAGGTAAATAAAAGCAATTTACCTTAATTGTTACCCAACTGATTTGCAAAAGCAATTTATTACCCAACTGGTTTGCAAAAAAAAATTATTCTCATGTCTTCTTTCATCTAACTTAACCTTAATTGTATTTCAGATCATTAAAAAACATAATGCATTGTCTTAGAAAAGTTAAACATGCCCAAACTATACTAGTCAAACTAAACTTACTACCTAACATTAATAATACACCAACACCTAAAATTGAAATCTTTGGACGACGCCTATGAATCAGTAATACACCAACACCATACACTCCATACCAATCATTACTAAAGTGAAATAAAAGGTTCTACAACAGTTCATTGAATGTCAACATACAAACACAGATCAGTGTACTTAAACCTCGTTTGTACTTCAAATCATTAACAAACATAATGCATTGTCTTAGAAAAGTTAAACATGTCCAAACTATGCTAATCAAACTAAACTTACTGCCCAATATTAATAACACAGCAACACCCAGAATTTAAATCTCTGAACGCCTATGCATCAGTAATACACCAATACCATACAATCCATACTAAGCATTACTAAAGTCAAATGAAATGTTCTGCAACACTTCATTGAAATGTCAACAAACAAAAACACACTACCAGTGTACTAATGAACATGATTAAATGATTAATTTGACTCACATTATTTTTCAGCACATCAACATCACCGATAATTTCTTTGATGTACTTCATTACGAAGTACCCACACTCCAATGATCCTCTTTGCTTCGGACACTACACACATTTAAATTTGTTACTTTAAAAGTTTTATAAAGAATGTATTGGGAAAATACAACCATTAATTGAAATGGATATATACCTTGACTGTGATCCAGTTCAATTTCAATCTGTCTTTTGACTTCAGAGCATGATACATTTGCACTCCTCTGAGAACAAACAGTCAAGTACACAATTAGTTAAGAAATCCAGAAAGCCCACTTTGAATAAATGGACTTTAATTTTTTCAGGGGATTGAAAGTCCATATTGCAACAAGTTTTGCATGGGCATCTAATTGACCTACGATTTGCAGAACTAAGTATAGCACAATGTATGAAATCATTGACCCCTTTTATATATTCTGGAGACAATCTGTTTCCATCCCTAATCCAAGACCTATCTGTTTGCATATTAACACCTGATATGTAAACACAAAGAAAAAAAGGAGCAACTCAAACAAGTAGAATCCTGATTTATAAAACTAGGAAAGAATCATATATGAATTGCTAATTTCAATGTATGGATAAAAAATATGAAGGAAAAGCAGTAGGTAGATTCAATAGCTTAAAGAAAATTCTAGCATTCAAGATGGTCCTATAGAGCACAAAATCATGGGGATGACTAGAATAATAAAAAAACAGGAGAATCATAAACAAGACAAAATTGGGATAGAATCATATATGAGTTGCTAATTTTAATTTATGGGAAAAAAAATGAAGAAAAAACTAGTAGGTTGATGCCATAGTGTAAAGAAAAAACTAGCATTCATCACGTTCCTACAGACCACAAACTCATGGGGATGACTAAGATAAAAAAAACACATGGCAGAATCTGACCATTCCCATGCTACACATACCAAGTGTTGTCTAACAATCTCACAAGCTAGATCAAACAATATGTGAAAGGAAAATTGAAAGCAGAAAGAAGCGGATACACATATACAATCAAATAGGTTACAGATATGTACTCAAGTTCTAATGCATGAATTATGTGTCTAGTTTTGAATAACAACATACATAGCATTGTAATACCCAGTTATGAATAACAACAAACTCATGTGATTCTAATGTCAGTCCAAACAAAGCATGAACTTCGCTGAAACTTCCCCATAATCCCAAAGGCATACTCAATCCCCCCAAAACGATAGCAACACATTTGTAGGGGTACTCATTGATTTAATTACGAGAACTAATCATAGAAAATCTTGACTAATATAGAAGAATTTAATCAACTAGAAGACATATAGTGAGATGAATGACATACATAGGTGTTGAGCTGCCATATAAAGCTTAAGGCTGTGAGGATCCCAAACCACGAAGCTGTTGTGTTTGAAGTAGGTCTGTCACCGAGTCTGTTGCAACAAATTATAAATTAGAAATGATCACATGAGTAATTAGAAAGTTAAAAAAGTTTTCAACTTTAAATTCTTAATTATTTGAATCAATAAAACTTGGAATAAACCAAGTACTGATTTAAACCAATAAAGATTCAATTAAAACTTAAAGCAAGTACATATTACTGTGTATTTACAAACTTACGGAGAACATGTATAAAA